CATTTTTATTACATTCAAGCTATAGCAAGTAAATGACTAAATGGGAGTATGCAAGGATAAATTATACGAATATATGAAATTAATGGGAGTATGCCAGGCTAAATTATACAAATTTAGTTAACCAAGTCATTTTAGAGACTTATCAGCCGAAACCTTAAATTAGAAAACCAAATAAATTATACGAATATATGAAATTAATGTAGTTTGAAAATTTGTCATGCAAATATCATGAATTCGGATGGTGATACAATCGTGACACTAACACAAACCACTGATGATTAAAATTATGTTTTTTGTCAACGTACTTCATCAATTTGATCAAATTTGGCCGGTAAGAAAAATTATTTTGGAATCGACTTCCCATGTATTAAGATTAATATAAAACTTTGATGAATCGCTAAAGAGATTTATCACACTCTCTTCACATCACAATGTCAATAATAAATTTGTACCAAACATTAAATTATGAATTTCTTTTAACCACCAGAAAAAAATAGAAGAAAAACATGACTCTTTAGAGAATCTCCAGACCCAACTGACCAAAACTCAGAAAACAAGCTTTTCTTCTTTCAACTGTATTTCCAGAATTAAGAACTTTGCTTCTTCTCGCTCTTCTGAGAGTGATAATGATGAAAACAATCCAAATTGCATCCCTCAAAAAGCTCTTTAATCTACATGAAGTCGAAATCATCCATGGCATCGTAAGGACCAGCCACTAGATCGTCATCAGGTTTATCTAGAAGAAGTTGTTTCTTCTTCCCACCTGGAAAAAAATATGATAATCACAAAAATTAAATTCGCATCAACAAATCTGCAAAGCTACAAGCCAACAAGATACTGCTAAATGCAAAGAGGCATCAAATATCTGTCAGTGCACATACCCGTCTTCTTTTTGCCAGCAGCAGCTTCTTTCTCAGCCTTTAGTTTTTCATTTGCTATTGCTGTAATGGAAGAAGCAACATCTTTAACATCTAACATGCCATGGGCGTATGGCTTAAGGCCATGAAAGAAGAAAGACAGAATACGACATACCTCATATGGTTTAAGCCTATGAGAAATCATTTCAGCATATTCCAAAAAATCGCTTTCAGACTTGGGGATAAACATATCAAGGCTTTTTTCTTCATCTTTTGCTCCAAAGAGTTCAGCAGTTGCCCGGTAGTCGGCTTCCTCAACGAGCCTGTGATAGAAAGAACATAGCGTATAAGAACACACAAACCTTCACAGCCTTTGGTCTGTCTATAAATATTTCTCTAAACGATCAAATTAAGAAGACTTCGGTGAAGCATTCTGTGTAGGAAAGAGCAATATTTATAGATTCTACCTCTGCTGACGAAGTTTCTCAGCAATAGGATCTACATGTTCTTCCTTTGGTGTTTCTTTTGGAACTTCGGCTGCTTTACCCTTCTTTTCAACAGTTTTTGATGCTGCTTTCTTAGGAGTCTTCTCTGGAGCAGGCTTTACAGGAGGTGGCTACACTGAAACAGGTTCGAGTTTCAGAATTTGAAGAAACAAAATCATAACAAAGATAAATTATGCGCAGTAGCCAATCCAGAAAGATCTCTCCAGAGAGTAAAAGCTAAGCTATACCAGAGCAGGTTCATCATCATCCTTCCATGAATCCTTAATTTCATTCTCATCCACATCCTCGTCATCCCAGTTACTTTTAAGTTGAACTTTTGCTGGAAGTGGTGCAATTTGCTCGTCCTCTGATATCATAAAAGAAAAACTATAAGTAGTAGAACTTTTCCCACACGCAAGTGATTCAGTTTTGTAATGTTAAAACTCATCATATTAGCAAATAATCCAAATTTGCTACCAAAGAGAATAAGAGGATTACAAAAAATTATATTCAGACACAGATGAGAATACTAAAAGCATAGTCTTACCCTAGTCATCCATGTTTGGTGTCAACTATCGAGCACGAGTAAAAGCTGTTAACTGAGTGCGACTAAAAACCTGCCAGATATGTGCATAAACATCAGACCCATGATGATTGAATCAGCTGTTAGTACTCATCAATCCATATACTTTTGAAACACACAGATGCCGGTTTCATGAGCTCTTAAAGATGCCAAACAATAACACTCGCACAAATACACAAATAAAAATATCCACAAGTATGTTAATTTCAAAGATATTTCCGAGCAGGTAAAAACAGAATTAAAGGAGCAAAGATAACAAAATTGAACGAATTGGCTCAAACGTTTATGGTTACAATATCCAACAGATGGTTACCATAGTGGATTAGAATTATTACTTTCTTAAAATTTTGGTAACCATGTGCTTACAACAACCATTTGAATCCTTCAATCAAAATCAATCCAAACTGACTGATTCAAACCAACAATATCTAGAATCTAGTCCTCAAATTCATGATAATAACAATAAGTTGGCCAATTCCTTGCCTCATTTATAAGAATTCAGAAAGATTCAGCTTTTGAAGCTCATCATGCAACAAACTAAGAGAAGCAAATAAACAGAACAAATTGATGATAAATTTAGAAGCTTCTAACATGAATTAAGAAAATCTTAAATCTGAACTAATCACGATAAACATTGAATTCAACAGAAACTCATCAGAGATCAACCGATTTAGAGAAGAAATCAAGATCTATAATCGAATTCAACTGAGAAAGGATAAACCTTTAGGCAAGAGAAACATACCTAGAAAGGCTGAATCGGAAAAGATTTCAGCCCAGGAGAAGAGAAATCGGCACAAGTGAAGCAGAAATACGAAGCGTTTCGTTTTCGTTGGATGAAATCTCTTCCTATGCGGCTTAAAGGGGATTTTAAATGGTTTTGGTGGATTTAGGTTTTTTTTTTCCTTTTCCTTTCTAATGCCTTTCCAATTTAAGGAAAAAAAAAAGTAATACGAGCGTTATACACC